TGGTTATGATTAATGTGTAACATTTTAAGTCTATTTTGTGTGTTCTTTCAGCCAAAGAACACAAACTTCGTTATTTCAAATAAATCCAAAATGAAGATTTCACAGCTGTAAGCATTCAACAAGGTTTAGTAATAGGGGGAAAACAGTATTTTAAGTTTTCCCAGCCTACAAGTAGGGGATTGGAAAAGAGGCTGGCTGTGGGAGGAGATCAAATCATAAAAAACAATGCCAATAAGCTTTTAGAGCAGTGGTTTCTAAACCAGAGCTTAAGGCACACCTACCAGTTGAGAAGTTAGGTATTAGCCATTCATGTCTGAGGTGTTTTTATAAAAAACAAACAAAAAAAAAACACCTTGACACAACTGGGTATTCCCTAAATTCTGGACTGATAGGCATGTCTTGAGGACTGGTTTGGAAACCACTTTTCAAGAGATTCATTCAATAGTTAATTAAGGGATTGCATTCATTGCACATTGCATTCAAGCTATGTGACCATCAGAATACCAGTAGGGTTACAAATCAAGCCTGGCTGCCATGTGTTATGTAGGCCCATGACCTTTCCTGCAGTAACATCAAGGCCTACCTACCCAGTGGTAAAGATGCAATCTAAATTCCCCTCTTTATGCCTCAAGTCGATGAGAAGGTTTTCTCATCATCACCATATGATAGCCTTGATTGGATAAGCATTAAAGCGGTATTGATGTTTATTTTTATACATATTAGCTTTAACTTTCACTCCGATAAACCCATGCAAGTCTGCTTGTGTAGCATAGTACATGTATTATTATTATTATTATTATTATGATATTTATAGAGCGCCGTCAAATAGAGCTTACATGCTAGAGGGAGTGGGGTAAAATGACACAAAAAGGTAAGGATAATATTAGACTAATGACAGTTGCAGAAGAGGAATCAGTCAGGAGCTAGTAACAGTTTAATTCATACGCTTTTATGAAGAAGTGGGTTTTTAAAGATTTTTTGAAGGAGTGGAGACATGGTGAGCATCTAACGGAGGAGGGAAGCGAGTTCCACAGGAACGGTGCAGCCCTTGAGAAATCTTGAAGGCGAGCATCAGAGGTGGGAGCACGGACAGAAGATAGACGTAAGTCTTCAGCAGATCGTAAGGGCCTAGACGGGACATACTTGTGTATAAGGGAGGATAGATAGGTGGGAGCAGCATTATGTAGAGATTTGAAAGCAAGAACCAGAATTTTAAATTGAGCTCTATATTTTATAGGAAGCCAATGTAGGGACTGACAGAAGGGTGAGGAATGGGAGGTGCGGGCGGACAGGAAGATGAGCCTCGCCGCCGCATTCATTATGGACTGTAACGGCGCTAGTTGGGAGCACGTAAGACCACTGAGAAGCGGATTACAGTAGTCAAGGTGAGAAAGTACAGTGGAATGGACCAACACCTTAGTCGCATCTGGCGTTAAGTAGGGGCAGATGCGCGCAATGTTTTTGAGATGGAAATGACAGGATTTGGCGATAGATTGAACATAAGGCTTGAAGGAGAGGTCGGAGTCAAAGAGAACACCTAGGCAGCGAGCCTGCATGGTGGAGCTGATGGTAGCACAGTTAACTTGGAGGGAGACAGACACAGGAGTAACAACACTTGAGGGAGGAAAGACCAGAATTTCAGTTTTGGTCAAATTTAGTTTAAGGAAGTGGGCAGCCATCCAGTTAGAAACAGCAGAGAGGCAGTCAGAGACACTAGTCAAGAGGGACGGGGAGAGATCATGAGAGGACAGGTAGATTTGCATGTCATCTGCATAGAAATGATATTGGAAGCCAAAGGAGCTAATAAGTTTACCAAGGGAGGCAGTATAGATGGAGAACAGTAGGGAACCAAGGACTGAACCTTGGGGGACACCAACAGAGAGGAGTTGGGGAGAAGAAGCAGAGCCAGAGAAAGAAACACTGAAAGAGCGCTGGGAGAGGTAGGAGGAGCACCAGGAGAGAGCAGTGGCCACTGTGCATTGAAGGAGCTTTGTTGCCTACAAGAGTAGACCGATATTGCAGAGGATGAGAAGAAGCTGTTGATGATCAACAGTGTCAAAAGCCGCAGACAGGTCAAGGAGAATTAGGATAGAGTAGAGACCACAAGATTTTGCAGCGAGTAGATCATTGGATACTTTGGTCAGTGCCGTTTCCACAGAGTGCTTAGCGCGGAAACCAGACTGAAGCGGGTCTAGCAAAGAGTTGGACTCGAGGAAGTCTGTCAATCTCGCATACACAATTTTTTCAAGGATCTTGGATGCAAAAGGCAGTAGCGAGATAGGACGATAGTTGGATGGGGAGTTAGGGTCAAGACTGGGCTTCTTTAGAATTGGGGTTACAGTTGCATGTTTGAAGGGCAATGGAAATATACCAGAGGAGAGAGAGAGATTGAGAATTTTAGTGAGAGGCGGAGAAAGAGAAGAAGACAGAGTACGGATGAGGTGCGAGGGAATTGGATCTAGGGAGCAGGGGGTGTATTATCATTGTATGGTTTTCTCTATGTGTGTAGCTGTTTATTTTAATTTGTTATACATTTTTTAAAAATTTTCATCAAACATTATTATTTTGGCTGGTTTTTAAGTGATTGTCATTTGGTGGTTGTGACGAAACCAATCTGGCCACTGTGCATTGTTGCCTGCTTTGTTGCCTGCCAGCTGCCTTTTGACTATGGACCGTCATTTAAATACTTTATTTTCCTATGCAGAAAGGTCTATTCATGTATTTCTGCCCGGGCGTTCGGTAGGGTCTATCTACCGAACAAACAGTCATCTATTGGCCTCCCAGGAGCCGCGGTTATCTGGCAGGTGCCGTTAATTGGCCACCCAGAAGCCGTCGAGCGCCGCCAATTGACTGCCCAGAAGCCGCAGTTAGCCGCGGCTTAATGAGCATGTGCCGTCCATTGACCACCCAGTAGCTGTGGTTAACCGCAGCTTAATTGACTATACCGGGTGGCAGTGGCTACACATACTGAACACTGGATGGCAGCAGTCTGCAGTTCACATGCGGCCAGTTCATTCACGGATTTACTGAATGAACTCATTTAACCCAGATAGCTATGCCATGGAGCCTATTCGTGTAATAAAAGACTTTGGCTCCATGGCAATTAAACTGTATGTGTGTTGTCTGAGCGCCATTCAGTAGTAATGTGCGCTCAGATCTAAGCTATCTGGGGATATGTTGCATGTCTGTGTTTTATGTAATAAATGTAACCTTGTGTATTTTATTGTATTTTACTGTTTTTTTACTGCCATGTGCTTAATGGAGTTTTGCCTCTGTCCTTGGAGATAATTGGATTACTTCCCAATTATCTCCAGGATAGAGAGGAGGGATTGTGATGTCATTGTAGGAGTGTTTATCTGTGTTGTATGTTTTGATTGGATGTTCCACAAAACCCTGTGGGTGGGACTTTGTCTGTAAAATGTGTATATATTAGACCAATAAAGACACAGCTCAGGAACAGGAACTATACGAATCAAACATCTGAATGAGAATCACCATACACATGAAATCATCGTACATAGCTGAGCATTCGTATGTCCAAGATGGCTGCCGCCTCATGGTCGGCATACGAACGACGACCACCCAGTTGGCATTCGACAATTAGGAAGTGTCTGCGGTTAACCACAAGGTTCTAATGAGGCCAATAGGTTAACCAGTAGCACACTTCCATGCTGGGTGGCCAGGCCGTTCAGTGAATTGTTCGGTATAAAAGAAACAAGCGTGAGGACGGTACGGACAGGGAAACAGCCGAACAAACAGATGAATGAGGGAACACTAAAAGTATTGGTTCTGTCAGTTGGTTCTGTCACATGGCTCTCTCCTTGTGGGACACTCCGGCAGAAACAGCTTGATCCTTTTCGGGCCAACTTGGGGATGACCGGAACTAGGAGGTCGGAGTGATGTCTGTTTGTCGGGACAACCCATCAGCATTTCCATTTTGCTTACCGGGTCTATAACTGATAGTAAAATTGTACGGCTGCAACCTGCCGTTGTCTCCTGAGACCCGTTTAAGCCAGACCAATGGGTTGTGGTCAGTCACAAGTGAAAATTCCTGTCCATACAGGTAGGGGGTTGACTTTTTGAGGGCCCAGACCAGGGCCAAGCACTCCTTCTCCACTGCCACATAACTTACTTCTCGAGGTAATAACTTTCTGCTCAGGTATGCGACAGGGTGCTCTCCTCCATCCTCCCCGACTTGGCTCCTCACAGCCCCCAGTCCAGACATGGAAGCGTCTGTGTGGACAAGAAAACGTTTGTTAGGTACTGGGGAAGCCAAGACAGAGGCATTAACAAGTGCTTGCTTCAATACTTTAAATGCAACTTCACAAGCTGGAGACCACAGGACCTGCTTAGGTAAATTCTTTTTAGTCAGGTCCGTCAGGGGCTTGGCGATAGAGCTATAGTTGGGGACAAAATGTCTATAGTACCCTTCAGTCCCCAAGAAGGCTAGTACCTGGGTCTTAGTGAGGGGTGTGGGCCAGTTAGCTACCGCCTCTACCTTGGCCGGCTCTGGTCTCTGGCTCCCACATCCCACTCTGGCTGAGGTACACTCTGGTGTACCTCAGCCCAACCTAGATAGCACTTATCTGGCTTCAAGGTCAGACCTGCGGCCCAAATCTTGTCAAGAACTACCCCTACATGAACCAAGTGCTCCTCCCAAGACCCACTGTAGATTGCAATGTCATACAGGTATGCACAAGCAAAATCCTGGAAGTCATCGAGGAGCTGGAAGGTAGCTGGGGCATTTTTCATCCCGAATGGCATGACTCTAAATTGGTACAGGCCAAATGGGGTGACAAATGCCAACTTGGGGATAGCATCCTCGGCCAGGGGATCTGCCAATATCCCTTACACAGGTCTATGGTAGTGACATAGTGTCCCCTGGCTATGCGATCTAGCAGTTCGTCTACCCTGGGCATCGGGTAGGCGTCAGTGGTGGTCTTCTCGTTGAGTCACCTGTAGTCCATGCAGAACCGGGTGGTCCCATCTTTCTTAGGCACCAGGACTACAGGCGAGGCCCACGGGCTGTCAGAGGGCTCAATGACTCCTAACTGGGTCATCTCCTGTATTTCCTTCCGCATTCCTTCTCAGACTGCTTCAGGGAAGATGAATGGTTTAGGGAAGATGAATGGACAGACAGGGGTGTCTGTCCAGGGGTCTCTACCCTGTGCACAACTAGGGTTGTATAGCCTGGTTCTTGGGAGAAAGTCACCTGTTTCTCCTACAGAACCCTCTTAGCCTGTCCCATTTTGGTGTGGCTTAAACGGTCCCAAAGCTGTACAAGGCTAGTAAGGTCAGTCTGGGGGTCTCTCTCTAGTAAATCAGGGAGGGGTAAGCTTTCTGAGTCGTCTGCAGCAGGGGCACGCACTGCAGCGACATTCTCCTGTCTTTCCTGGTACTCCTTCAGCATTTTCACATGAAAGGATCGCTGGATCCTTTCATCTGCACAGCTGGCAATGACATAAGTAGTATCACATACCTGGGCTACTACTTTGTATGGGCCCTGCCAAGATGCTTGCATCTTGTCAGTCTTCACCGAGCACTAGGACCTTCTGCCCAACCTGGAAGACATGATGTCAGGCACCCCGATCGTACCATCTCTTCTGTCTCCCCTGGGCCGCCTGGAGGTTCTCTCTCACCATCAGAGACAGTTTCTCCATGTGGTCCCTTAGTTCCAGAACATTTGGCACTATGGGGGTCCCCTCCTGCTCTGTCTCTTCCTCCCAGTATCCAGGAATCTGCGGACCCTTCTCCCATAGAGTGACTCGAAGGGAGAGAACCCAGTAGATTCCTGGGGTACCTCTCTGTATTCAAACAACAGATGAGGCTGGAATCTCTCCCAGTCTCTGCAGGCATCAGTAAAGGTCCTCAGCATTTGCTTGAGGGTCCTGTTAAAGCGCTCACAGAGACCATTAGTCTGGGGGTGGTAAGGGCTTAATGTTGCATACCTACCACAATTGCTGGGTGAGCACAGCGGTAAACTGGGTTCTCTGGTCAGAGAGGATCTCCTTAGGGAACCCCACTCTGGTGAAGATCTTAACCAGGGCATCAGCTACTGTCTCCGCTTCAATATTGGACAGAGCTACTGCCTCTGGGTAATGGGTGGCATAGTCCACCATGGTAAGAATATACTTCTTCTCGGATGGACTAGGTCTGGCCAGTGGACCCACAATGTCAACAGCTATATGGGAGAAGGGTTCCCCAATAATAGGCATGGACATAAGTCTGGCCTTTGGGTGGTCCCCCCTCTTACCTACCCGTTGACATGTGTCGCACGTATTACACCATTGTCATGCAGCCTGGTTAAAATTGGGCCAGAAGAAATTCTGCGTAATCCTATAGGCTGTGCGACGGGACCCTAGATGTCCTGCTAGTGGTACATCATGCCCAATTCGCAGAATCTCCTGCTGTAATTTCACAGGCACCACCAGCTGTCGTTTCTGCCAAAGGGCTGTAATCTTTTGAGACTGTTTAGGAAGCCTTTATAGCCTATCCCCCACCCACTCATATTGTTTCCCATCTACCCCTTCCTCCTGGGTATCTGCCTTAGCCCTATACTTGTGTAGCGTCGGGTCCTCCCGGGTTTCCCTCCAAAACTCCTCTGGGGTATCCTAGCCTAAGGGGGCCTGACCTGAGGTACATGTCGGGGAAGGTGGTCTTACCTGGGTCTCAGCAGCAGGTGGGCCAGTTTCAGCAGCACTGTTCTGGGCACGGGTAGTCACAGAGTTAACTTCAGCGGGGCCCATCAGGGCACAAGGGGGGCCAAATCATTCCCCAGTAGTACGTCTGCTGGCAGGTCTTTCATTACCCCCACATTAACATGTCCCGAACCAACCCCCCAATCGAGGTGGACCCGAGCAACGGGTAGTCGAAACACTATGCCTCCAGCGACCCTTACGGCCACAGTGTCTCCGGTGTGTTGGCTCTCGGAGACAAGATTCTTTTGTAGTAGGGTCATGGTGGCACCGGTATCCCTTAATTGACTTTCCCATTCACCTTGACTGTCTGCCTGTGTTGGGAAAATCGATTAAGGGATACCGGTGCCACCATGACCCTACTACAAAAGAATCTTGTCTCCGAGAGCCAACACACCGGAGACACTGTGGCTGTAAGGGTCACTGGATGCATAGTGTTTTAACTACCCATTGCTCAGGTCCACCTGTTGTCCCGGTGGGCTGCTTGTACTGGGTCAGCCTCATGTAGGATGTCCCAGCATTCTTCCTCTTTTACACAGTGAGCAGCAGGCATTGCTGTGCGGGAGTTCCCCCCAGCTGGCTTCCTCCTGTGACTGTCTGACTGGGTTCAATGGGCATTCATGTCTTAGATGGCCGACTTGGTCACAGCCGAAACACTTCCTGGGCTGGGCATAGTTCTTTATGTTGAACCTTTGTGGCTGGGAATACTTGGCAACTGGAGGTGGGGCGTTGGACCGGTACGACAGTGGTTGTGGTTGGGCCACTGTAGTGGATGCCCCCGGTCAGTAATGCATACGGGTTGCTGCTTTAGCCACCTGGTTGTCTAGCTTGTGGGCATCAGTATATTCATCAGCCAAGCGAGCTGCTAGGGTAATGGGTTTTCTGTCATGGACCCACTCTCTGACCCCTGTGGTCAGTCTTTCATAGAAGTGTTCCAGCAAGAACAATTGTAGCACTTCTTCTCCGGATACCACCTGGCGTCCAGCGACCCAGTGGGCTGCCGTGCGGTGTATATGGCATGCCCACTCGGTGTATGAATCTCTGCTTTATTTATTAGTGTCCCGGAACCTCCTTCGGTATGCTTCTGGGGTAACAGCATACCTGGCCAAAAGGGCTTTTTTCACTAAGCCATAATCCCTAACTTCCTCGTCTGGGATGGTTTGAAAGGCTTCCCTTGCCCTGCCGGATAATTACCCAGATAGAATGGTAACCCATTTGTCTGCGGGTACCTGGTGTAGGGCACATTGCCTTTCAAAATCGGCCAGGTACCGATCAATCTCCATATCAGCTTCCACAAAATTTTCAAAAGCAGCGAAATGTACCTTTCTCTTTCCATTTGTGTTAGGCATTTCTGCTGCTGCAGCACCCCTTTGTTGAAGCAGCTGGTTCGCTTCCACGACTGCTATAACCCAAAATGGGCCAGCCTGATGTTGACCGCCCGATCAAAGCTAGCTTCGTCGAGTGTTCGGTCAGTGATGTTGGGTCTTTCGGTTTTATCCATCTCCAGCAGCTCTGTAATAAAGTCTCTTTTTCCAGTTACTGGCCGGTCGGCCATGGCTCTCCAGCAAATCTTTTAGGGTAGAGCGCTTTAATTGCTCATAATACGTTTCCATCAGCTTGTGTCTTTGTAGCTGTCCTTCTGAGCTGTAGGAATCATACGGTCACTTGCCAACAGTTGTTATGGTAACCCAGGGATAAAAGGAGTTAAAATCGTATAAGCTGCTCCTTTCCCGAATACGAAGGCAACTACCGATCACTCCAATCAGCCGAACAGGAACCATACGAATCATATAACCTCAAAACATCCGAACGAGAATCACCATATGAATAAATCCCCCCAAGTACGAGACAAAGCTTCGTATTGAGGGTCAGCAGGAATCTGGTTTATTATGAGCTACCTGTCCGGTATTTATGCAGGTTTTACACCAGGTGGACACTCCCCTAGGGGACCTGGTGGAAAACTGGGACACATATTGTACATTAGCCAATCACAGAGTTGAAGACATAATCTTTTACTGCATAGGACCCTCCTCTCTGTCCTGGGGATAATTGAGAAGTAACTCAATTATCTCCAAGGACAGAGGCCAAACTCCATTTTATACAAAGTAATGAAAATACATAATACAAGAACTACCAAATACAATAGATACATTCAACACATCCCCAGATAGCTTGGATCTGAGCGCACATTATTACCAAATGGCGCGCAGATCCTATACACACAGTTCAGTCGCCATGGAGCCTAAGTCTTTCACATAGTCTTTCGTTATACAAATGGGATTCATGGCACAGCTATCTGGGATAAGTCTATTTGTGAAAAGCAACTACCGAACGGACCGGCATTAGTATGCTGGAAAAATAGAAGAAGGGAGGTCGGCGGC